ATCAGCATGTCAGCCTTCAAACTGATTAATTCATTTCAACTTGTTAGCACAATTCTGCAGAGGTGAGCAGGGACTTAGCTTTAAGAAAGCAAGAGATTCATACTGCATTGCGTCAAAATCCAGAAATGCAGAGCAATATTGAGAAAACTTACTTCTGAATGTTTCCCAAATACTATCTTGCTGCTACTTACCTTTTAACCTGCAAAATTCAGATAAGAGGTATTTAAGTGCCTTATTGTTACTATGACTCAAAACAGGAAAAGGTTATAATGTGGCCCACTTTTATAAACCTCATAAATAACTCATCTGATTTATAAAAGGGCCTGCCTTGGATTTATCACCTATAATCACTAGAAATTTCCAATGTTTATATTTCTTATTTTGGGATATCAAGATGCCAAATCTTTTATTCTTTTTGAAAAAGGTCCGATTTAGAAAACAAAAACTGTACACAAATAAAACATATAAAGAGAGCATGTTTGTTTTGTTTTGTTTTCACACTGTCACCCAGGCTGGAGTGCAATGGCGCAATCTCGGCTCACTGCAACCTCTGCCTCCCAGTTTCAAGCGATTTTCCTGCCTCAGCTCCCCAAGCAGCAGGGATTACAGGCAACTGCTACCATGTCCGGCTAATATTTTGTATTTTTAGTAGAGATGGGGTTTCACTATGTTGGCCAGGCTAGTCTCAAACTCCTGACCTTGTGATCCGCCCACCTTGGCCTCCCAAAGTGCTGGGATTACAGGCATGAGCCACCACACCTGGCCTGAGAGCTGTTTTTGCTTTAAACATGAAAAGGTAAGCTCTATTTTATTATAGGAATTGTGGCAGAAGAAGTCAATGGAACAGGAAACAAACCCAAGTTTACAATATTTATCAAATGTAAAAAATACAATTTTTACTATGTATTTTCAGATTATTTTTTCCAACTATCTAGGATAATCTGTTTAGTCCCTTGGTTCTTAAAAACCAAGTAGCCACCAATAAAAAGTCAGCAAACATTACATGCAAACACCAGGATGGTGATGAGAAATTAATATATTCATGCCTTAAAGAGAAAGAGAGGGAGGTAAAAAAAGGGAAGGCTTTGAAAATTTTAAAGTAAATTTATTAACACTTCTGATAATTTAACACCAAAAAACTCCCAAACAAACCCTAACCAATTTGTTTAACAGAAAGGTCATGCAGGCAGGGGTTTTTTTTTTCCCCCTTTTCTTTTGATCATTCAACCTCTTTGACACAAATATGCCTTCACTGCAAGCCAGGCAAACCAAAAAGGCAACCCGTTTTCTGCATGCTGGTCAAATACCTGGACTCTGCGTTTACGAAACGATGACAACATGATGGAGGAATGTGGAGTCTAAAGAGGGAGGGGGAAGAGCAAGATAACAAGCTTCTAAGGGCAAACAGAACAAAATCATGAAGAAAACAGATATTTCAAAATATATGAATACAGGTTAAAAATCCAATTTCAGATATTTTCTCAGTGTTTTCTCTCTGACATTCTGTATAGTGTCTAAATCCCACAAGGGATTCAAAATGTGGAAAGAGAACCAAGGTTACTAGGCCTTGACAGTTACTGCCTAGATATGGCGGCCCTGGCCAAGTCACACTCGCTTTTGGGCCTCAATTTCCCCACTTGTCAAAGTAATAATACTGAATATACTTTTTCAAACTAAATATGCCCTCCTCCTGAGGATCCCAGGAGATGATTCCTAAATCCCCTTCCATTCAGCAATAAAAGAATAATTTCATGAAATTATCACAAAGCAGAACTCAAGCCACAAAGATCTGACTTGGGCCTAGTTTATCAGCACACTTACTTTAAAAAATACCATTTCCTCTTCAAAACTGGTACAAGAGGAATATACAAAAAAGGTGGAAGAGAGGTGATGGTTCACAGCACAGCTGCTCCAGTCAACTGGCCCCAAGTGATCAGCTATGCAGTCCTCCTCCGCATTCCTGGAGACCGCAGTTGCCACTAGGGCGTTGCATTCTTCTACTGTACGCCTGCAGCTGATATGCTGCAACAGACCTGAGTGCGTAACTAGTGGAGTCCTTGCACAGCCCACGGAGAAGTGATTACAAAAGCAGGCCAGCCTTGGATCCACTGTCCATTCTTAGTGTAGGTTCAGCAGTGACAGGACATGGGGGACTATTCCTGAGATCCACTTTTCAGGATCTACAGTTGACTCCACCCCAACCTGAGACGAAGGCAGGTAAGAAAAAATAGAAAAAATTCTAACCCAGGGAACCAAAAGACATACTTAAAACAGCTCTCCTCATGTCCACCTCTTCATCAGATTGCTTGACAGACTTACACTGTAAGCTGCGACATATCAAATTTCTCTAATTATTAGATTACTAAAAAACACACCGCCAAGACCAAAGCATGTCAGAGAATCAGTTACTAGGCTGATTGTTTCCAGTAAGAACTGCTTCACACTTATCCAGGATGGAGCAAATCCTCCCTTCATGTCTCTCCATCTAGGTCCCTGGATAACGGTTAACACACTTTGAGGGTTCCTTTGAGTAATTATTGGCCCAGTTACTAAAAAAGGCTTATTGTTAATTTCCTGCACAGAGGCCCTTACTGCAGCACTTTTTTCCCCCTGCAGCACATATTAAACTTTGACTTCAATTTGACCTTTCAAATCTGACATTAGCCGCAGTGAAAAGGAAAATAAATGACTAGTTAAGGAGTGGGAACCTTGGCTCAATGGCTTCATACAGCTGAGTGTTCTTGCTGCTATTCCCAAGATTTTCTGTTTCCTGGCTCCAAGACACCCCCACCCTTCCATCTTTGATTCTGTTTTACTTAAGGCCAATTGCTATGACGACGCAATTTCTCAACGCATTATGAAAATACTTCATATGGCCTCTCTCCTGTTCTTCCTGAACAGCCATGATGGTTAAGTTTTTCTAAAATAACATGAGGAAGACAGAACAAAGGGCTTAAATATTTTAGGATCTATTATATGAAAGATATCTGATTAGATGTTGGAACAGTTCAAGCATCATCTCAACCCAGCTTTCTGAGCTATTCGGGCTTTTCGTTTAAAACATATTCAGCTATTAACCTTAACAAGGCGCTTATTTAAAATATATTTTACTTAGTACATGAGACTTGAAAGCGATGTTCTTTGAAAAGCGTCTAATCAAATTCTGAGGGACAGCTTTCAAACAAAAGACTGTTCTATCATTCAACACCGTTATGGTAGAATTTTTGACACAGTTATCTCGACTCGAAAGACCCAGTCCCAGGAAATACACACACACAAACAAGAACTCTAAGCTATTAAGTTATTTGATTTGAGCCTCATATCGTGCAAGCACCGCATCTACCTATTCTTTACAAGCAAATCACCACTGGGGAGCAAAAAAAAAATGTTTATTACAAGGAAAGGAAAGGAGACCGCCCGTCTCAGACCCTTCTGCGTTCAGAAACGGCCGAGATTCTCCATGCAGAATGAAATTAAGGTCAAGAGCCGTTTACGCTGTGCTCCGGCTCCCCGGCTCTTCCTCTCTCCACTGCTGGCCGGCATTGCTGGTGCGATTCGGGAGAACGAGCTGCAGAAGTCGCTCCCCGCCGAGGGAAGGGACCGGGGGCGGTGCAGGGAGCGTTCTGCGGGGAGGCGGGTGGCGAAGATCCCGAAGAGGGAGCCCCCACCCACCTGCCGCAGCCGGATGGGGCAGGGCAGGGCCGCAGCCAGGCTTGGGGGTGGCGGGGAGGGACCCGGCGGCCTCGCGCCCCCTCCCCCCGTCAGTGACATTCCAGCGGCTGCGCCAAGCCTCTGCCCCGCTGATCCCTCGCAGCCCACGCGCCACAAAAGCCGCGGCGGCGCCTCCTCCGGCTCCTCAGCCGAATGGAGGCAGCACAGCGGCCCGCCCGTCTCACCTGTCCCCGGCGCCAGCCCCGCCCCGCCTTAGGGGCTGCCCGGGGCCCTGCTCCCTCCCAGAGCTCCCTGGTTGCCCCTCTCACCGGCTCTCGGGGGGTGAGGGGCGTGGGTGCGTCGGGCCGAGGGGTGCTGAGGAGCCAAGGAGCCTCCGCGGCCTCCGCTCCGCGCCGTACCCTCCGCAGCGGGTAGTGGCGGCGGCGCACGCGCCCCGCCTCTTTTATAAGCGGCCACGCGCGCTCCCGGGGCGGACGGGCGCGAGCGCCGGGGGAAGCGCCCGGGCGCTGCGCTAGGGGTTGGGGAGCGCGCCAGCAGAGCGAAGGGGGCGGGGCTCTCGCCTGCTCACCGCCCGACCGCCCGGCGGAAAGGGCCGAACGATCCCGGAAGGAGCCGAAGCGGCGATGCAGGAGAAGAGGTGAGCAAGGGGCGGGCCGCGGGAGGATGGGGAAATGGGGCGTGCGCAAGGGGTGGTGGGGTGATGGTGCAGTGAGATCACTGCCTCCGCCCTGGCCGGCAGAGACGCTCCCGCAGCACCTCCCTCCCCGCCGCTTTCGTCCCCCTCCCCCGCGAACGGCCCGCCCTGCGGACAGTCGCCTGCACCGCACCCCTCCGCCCTGGGAGCTCTTCCAGGACTGCAGAGAAGCGGGGGGCGGGGGCATCGCTGCAGTCTAGCTGGGGATGCTGCGCGCCCCGGCCGGAAAAACGCCCAGTCCCAAAGGGTGAGATCACCCTAGTGTGCGTCTCTTCCTGCTCCCGAGGAGTAGGCTGGCGCTGGGGACCCAAATCAGCCTACTTCGGTGGGGGCTGGGGTCAAGAAGATGCGGATGATTTGGGTCCCCGGGTTTGAGGAGGTGGTGAGAGGAAAAGGCCAAATCCGGATCAGAAAAAAATAAATAAATAAAGCCGACTAATTTGGGGCATAAAGCTGTCATTCTGGGATTTGGAAAGTTAATAATCTCTTACGTTCTTGGAGATTATGGGGGAAGGAAACGGCAGCGGCAAAATAATAATTTCTTATATTCCTGCAGCAAAAGCTTTCGCACAGGTCGCCAGTAGAATAGGGTCCCATTTCATCAACAACACATTAGGTTCTTTCTGCCACAGTTAATTTCCTTGTGTACTAGGCACTATGCTAAATATTTCGTGTTACCTTTTTATTTCTTAATCTTTGCAATAATTTTATGAAATGCTTTCCCATTTTACGAATAGGCACTCTTACTTAGTGCTCATGTAGGCTAAGTCTCTTAGCCCAGGTCAGGCAGCTAAGCAGTCAGAACCTTCCCTTTGAAATCGTAGGTGTATTCCCTTCAAGTAGGAAAGCGAGGCATTTTGATGCGCGTGGCTACTGGGGTGCTGACAGAGAAAAATAAGATTCTCAGAAATTCTGATCCTTAAAGTCCTAGCAGTTTAAGGGCCTGGCTCTAAACTCTGTAGCCAGAAGCCCTGGATTAGAAAGCCCTTTCCTTTTCCCCATTCCGGTGACAGCTGGGCCGCAGCCACTGAGAGTAACACCCAGATCACTCCTGTGTAGTCAGGCAGACGGGGAGCTCTGCAGCTCAGGAAGGCTTCAGCCTCCTGGTTACCAAGCAGCCCTCCTCTTTAAATATAAAGCATTGGGCGGGCACTGAAGCAGAACCTCAGCCCAGACCTGGCCCTGAGCTTGCCGGTCCTCTGCAGTTTGGCTTCTTTCCCTATGCCTGGGACCTGCAATATGGTTCCTAAACTGCCCTGGCTGTAGCCATGATACTGAGGAAAAATTTTGCTACCCACTCACTCCATTGGAGTGGTGAGAAAAGGAGCGGCCACACCCCAGAAGCTGCTTTAGAGAATCTGTGTAGGAAAGACGTAGGAGCTGAGAGGCATTTTCTGCAATCTTCTATGTAAAGAAAACAGGGCTGGGCAACTCCTCCCTAGGGTGTGCATATCTGGGAACAGCTGATGGTATCTGTGGCCTCTTCTACAGTAGGTTGCAGTAAAATGTTTAATCAGATATTCAGCTCTGGGTACAAAATGGCTAACAGAATTGTAGCTCCCTAAAATTTCCAAGACCTTCTGTTCCAGCAAAGAATGCATCTTGGGGCTGGGGGGCAGGAGCTATTAAAAAGGGAGGGTTTTTCTATTAAATCACCCTGGCCCCAGAGTGAAATGGGGGATTTTCGGCTTTTCCTGGATGCAAAACAAATTGGAAACCTAAGAGAGAGCTCTGTATTGATAGAGAAACTAAAATCTTATGTTGATCCTTTGTCTGATCTGAGACATGGCCAAGAAACAGTAACCCCAGCCCTCTCTACCTCCCACTCACTCACCCTGCCTGCTCTGCACTTGGCACTTGAAATGAGCCATTTAAAAAGCCATTCTTCACTGTTCTGTTGTCTGCCTACCTCACCTCCCACCAATTTCACCATATGCCTAACACCCTAGTAGGTGTGCAAAGCTGGGGCGGGGGGGAAACAACAAAAAAAGCACAGGACAGTGTAATGGCTTTGTAACCAATCAACTCCACGTTCTCAGTCACACACCTCTCCTGGCCTCCTAAAAAGCAGAGGGTTGGACTGAATTCTCAACCCCTTTTTCTAGTTTCAGCAGTCCTCAGAAGGTTTGATATGTACCCAAAGCTTAAGCCTCTAGATAGTCCCAATCCTTTTTCAGGTTGTTGAAAAGGTCAACTGTTGGGAAACACACTAATTGTAGCGATGTGTCCACATGTTCTGGCCAGGGAGTCACTTGTCCCCTCTCCCTGGGAGAGAACCCTTCCTCTGCCCTCCCCTCCACACCCCATCCCACCTCCTGCAAAGATAACAGGCAAACACTTCCACTATTTTTCCTCCCTAGAAGGGAACTGATTGGGAAGTCATGCGAGCAAATGGACTGCACTTCGCATATGACATTCTGCAGTGTCAGAGCTGGCAAGAAATAACAGATCTTCAAAACGATGTGCCTGGATGAATCTTGAAGGCATTATGCTAACTGAAATAACCCAGACACGTAAGGATGAATATTGTATGATAATTCCACTTATGTGAGATCCCTAAAATTGTCAGATACATAGAGACAGAAAAAACAGTTGTTACCAGGGGCTGAGGGGAGGGAGGAATGGGTTATAATTATTTAGTGGGTACTGTTTCCATCTGGGATGGTGAAACAGAGTTCTGGAGAGGACGGTGGTGATGGTTGCATAACACTGTGATTGTACATAATGCCACAAAATGCCACTGTGATTGCACACTTAAAAATGGTTAGGTCAGGCATGGTGGCTCACTCCTGTAATTCCAGCACTTTGGGAGGCTGAGGCAGGCAGATCACCTGCAGTTGGGAGTTCGAGACCAGCCTGACCAACATGGCGAAACCCCGTCTCTACTAAAAACACAAAATTAGCCAGGCGTGATGGCACATGCCAGTAATCCCAGCTACCCAGGAGACTGAGGCAGGAGAGTGGCTTGAACCCAGAAGGCAGAGGTTGCGGTGAGCCGAGATCATGCCACTGCACCCCAGACTGGGTGACAGAGCAAGACTCTGTCTCAAAAAAAAAAAAAAAAGTTAAACTTTTATGTTCTTTATATTTTACTAAAATCAAAAAATAAAGCAAAGATAAAGGAAAAAAAAAAGAACAACACAAGCCACTGCTTCTAAAATCAAGCACCATATTAGAGAAGCAGCCTGATAGGGTTTGGGAGTATGGCCTTGCCAAGGTTTGCTTTAAGACACCAGGTGACAGCAAAGATGTAAACTCCTCCCTCCCCTCCCCTCATCTGACCACCTAATCTGGCTCTAGTTATTTCACATCTGTTCCCTTGCGGGGCTGCCTGCTAGACCTGGTCAGTCCATGTCCCTCCTGCTTACCTTGAACCCACTACTACAGTTAGTTTCACAAACCACATCAAACCTTCTCAAAAAGTTTCAGTAGCTTCCCATAGTTTACAGAATAGGCCATACTTTGGAGCCTCCACAGTCTTGTTCCAATTTACCTTTTCATAGCATCATTACCTACAGTTCTTCTCTACTGATCTGAGGTTAACCTCTTCCAAAACATGTTATTTCTCCAACTCCAGGCTTTTGCACACAACTTTTTCCTCCAATTAGAACGTCCTTTCCCAACACTCATACCTCTTTTCTGCCTGAAAATCTTACCAATTTTGAGTATATGTAAGTAGAATGTTTCTGTGGCCGGGCACCATGGCTCATGCCTGTAATCCCAAAACTTTGAGAGGCTGAGGTGGGCGGATTGCAAGGTCAGGAGTTCGAAGCCAGCTTAACCAAAATGGTAAAACCTCATCTCTACTAAAAATACAAAAATTAGCCTGGTGTGGTGGTGGACACCTGTAATCCCAGCTACTCAGGAGGCTGAGGCAGGAGAATCACTTGAACCCAGGAGGCGGAGGTTGCAGTGGGCCAAGATCGTGCCATTGCACTCCAGCCTGGGCAACATTGCAAGACTCCATCTGAAAAAACAAAAACAAAAACAAAAAAAAACCTTTCTGGAAGAGCAGTTTGACAATGTGAATCAAAATATAAAATTTGCATGCCATTTGACCCAGCATTGTTAGTCACATCTAGAAATCTACCTTAAGCAGGACGAGATGCATATTCATTCGGGACAGGTACGGTGCCTGACACCTGCAATCCTATCACTTTGGGGACGCCGAGGCAGGAGGATCACTTGAGCCTAGGAGTTCAAGACCAGCCTGGGCACCATGGCAAAACCCTGTCTCCACAAAAAATACAAAAATTAGCCAGATGTGGTGGCATGTGCCTATAGTTCCAGCTACCAGGAGGCTGTGAGAGGATCATCTAAGCCCAAGAGGTTAAGGCTGCAGTGAGCCATGATGGCAACACTGCATTCCAGCCCAGGTAATTGAGACCCTGTCACAAAAAAAAAAAAAAAAAAAAAAAAAAAATTAAAAATTTTAAAAAAAAAATAACCAAGACACCAAGTGAAAAATGGTTACTTACAATTCATAAATTCAAGACTATATTCGTAATATGTATTGACGTGAGAAAATATTTGAGTTATTACTGAATTTTAGGTTACATGAATGGTACGTCAGTCCACTTAAGAATTATATTCATGTATATGTATATATTACAGAGAAAGGATTCACAATGAGTACCCAGGATAAAAGGATTTTGGGACACTTTTACCCCTTGCTAATTTTTTGTAGTTTTAGTGGAGATGGGGTTTCACCATGTTGACCAGGATGGTCTCGATCTCTTGACCTCGTGATCTACCCGCCTCAGCCTCCCAAAGTGCTGGGGTTACAGGCGTGAGCCACCGCGCCCGGCCCACCTTTTTTTTTTTTTTAACTTTTTTTTTTTTTGAGATGGACTATCACTCTGCTGCCCAGGCTGGAGTGCAGTGGCACAATTTCCGCTCACTGCAACCTCCACCTCCGGGGTTCAAGTGATTCTCCTGCTTCAGCTTCCTGAGTGGCTGGGATTACAGGCATGGGCCACCACACCCGGCAAATTTTTGTATTTTTTAGTAGAGACGGGGTTTTACCATGTTGGCCAGGCTGGTCTTGAACCCCTGACCTCAGGTGGTCTGTCTGCCTCAGCCTCCCAAAGTGTTGGGATTACAGGTGTGAGCCACTACACCTGGCACTTTTTAGTTTTTGAATAGTTTCAAGTATGTGGATCAAATAATATCTTGAAGATATTTTCCTGATTACTGTAATCACCAAGTAAGGCATTTCAAAAAGTATACTCCCAAAAATACTAGCCCAAGAGAAGCTCTGGAGTTCCATGGTCAGTTAGGTAAACACTGTAAACTCTTCAAAGGTAAAAATTCTGCCAGCAGCAGTGACTCATGCCTGTAATCCCAGCACTTTGGGAGGCTGAGGCGGGTGGATCACAAGGTCAGGAGTTCAAGACCAGCCTGGCCAACATGGTGAAAACCTGTTTCTACTAAAAAAATACAAAAATTGCCTGGACATGGTGGTGTGCCCCTGTAATCTGTTACTCAGGAGGCTGAGGCAGGAGAATTGCTTGAATCTGGGAGGTGAAGGTTGCAGTGAGCCAAGTTAGCACCACTGCATTCGAGCCTGGGCAACAGAGCAAGACTCCATCTTAAAAAAAAAAAAAGAAAAGAAAAAAAGGAAAATTAAAAATTCAGAGTAGCATAGGTAAGGCACCAAAAATTTTTCCCTCCAAAAAGTCCTTTTATTTCTCAATGTTTTATTATGGGAGATTTCAAAGATAATTAGAAAGCTAAACAAAGATAAACAGAATAGTAGTACAATGAATGTACTCGCTAATTTTATATGCCAATTTGACTGGGCCAAGTGTTGCCCAGATGAAACATTCTTTCTGGGTATGTCTATGTTTCCAGATAAGCTGAGCATTTCTATTTGTGGATTCAGTAAATTGTCCTCCCTAATCTGGGTGGGCATCCATTTGTTGAAGCCTGAATAGAACAAAAAGGTAGAAGGAGGAGCAATTTGCCCCTTTTGTTCCCTGCCAGCCTGTTTGAGCTGAGGCACTGGTCTTCTGCCCTTAGATTAGATTTATACTATCAACTGACTGGTTCTTAGGCTTTTGGACTCAGATTAGAATTTCAACCCCAGTTTTCCTGGGTTTCCAGCTTGCAGATGGCAGATTGTGGGACTTCTCGGTCTCCATAATGTCATGAATAAATTCCTCCTAATTAAATTTCATCATATCCCTGTGTATCTATCCATCTATCAATCTCCTATCAGTCTGTTTCTCTGGGGACATGAATACAATGAACCTCCATATGCCTTTCACTCAGCTGCAACAATGATCAACATTCTGCCATTCTTGTTTTTTTGAGACAGAGTCTTGCTCTTGTCACCCAGGTTGGAGTACAATGTTGCTATCTCGATTCACTACAACCTCCACCTCCTGGGTTCGAACAATTCTCCTGCCTTAGCCTCCCTAGTAGCTGGGAGTACAAGTGCCTGCCACCATGCCCAGCTAATTTTTTTTGTATTTTTAGAAGAGAAAGGGTTTCACCAT